ACTTTGGGGGCCCCCCTCCCTTAACCCCCCCCCCCAAAAAAAAACACATGGAGCCGGCAAATAGTTGTTAACTAGGTTCAAAAGAAAATAAATTGCAAGGAGAATGTGTGAATAGGCAGGAGTTAACTGTTCTTTTTTCGTTCAAAATGCTTTGCTTTGCTACGTATATACCAAGGGTGCCCATTACGTCGATCGCGATTGACTGGTAGATCGCGGACTGGTCCCAAGTCGATTGCGAGGGGTGTAGAGGAGAGAAAAAAAGAATAGGAATCAAGAGGGCCAAGGGAAGCACTTTAAAACGGTACGTGTTTGCTACAATAGTGAACAGGCTGCAAAAGTGCGTCGCATGCCTCCGTGTCGTGCTGTTGCTCATCCTGGCGTGCGTGTGTATGTGCGTGCGCGATAAGGGGTCGATCGTGGGAGGTTGGTTGATCGAAAAGTCGATCTTTGGTCCAAAAAGTTTGGGCACCCCTACTCTATACTGTCACTTCCTTCAAGAAGATGAAGAAGTCTGTCTGAACAGGTAGTTAAATAAGAGGTAAGTAAATAAAATTGGAATGTCTTCCCTCAGGCAGCTGTTGACCCCTGGATATCAGGAAATATGGTACACTCCGGATGGAAGTCGCAGATCCTTCTCTCCTGTCAACAAAGTAAGTTGTGAAACACTTTGGTGATGTTTCATGGCAGCAAATAATCGTGTCATAGCTGACACGGAATTTTCCAGTTATATGGATGCCAATGAGGAACAACCAGGCATGGAGATGATTGTTCATTAATGAGCTGCATGTTGATTTTGGTTTTTTTTTGCTCTTCTAGAATCACTGTTTATACCACGGAGAGGTTGCAGGTGTAGACGGTTCCAGTGTGGCTCTCAGCACATGCTCAGGTCTCAGGTAAGAACTACCTCGACCACACCTGCTTCAGAGATACGTTACAATATTACAACATCATTATATTTGGACATGGATCACAATAGAATGCTTGATAGAGGGACATTGTGGTTAAATTGTGATTTTTTTTTTTTTTTTAAAGCATAAACTTGACAGATTTGAGCATTTTCCACTCAGGAATCAAAGCTGCAACATAATGCCTTTTGACTTCCTGGATAATAGATATTGTTACTTATATCCCAATAAAACATATTGCTTTATAAATGTTTTTCCCCACCCATGCAAATGTGTTACAATGCTCCCTGGATCAAAGTTAATTCATAAAAAGAAAAGGTATCTTCTCAACTCAACTCAACTCAACTCAACTCAACTGTATTTATAGAGCACTTTCAAACAGCCATCGCTGCATACAAAGTGCTGTACATGGAGCAATTTAACATATACAACAAACAGTAAAGGAAATCGGTAATGAAGACGGTAGAAAGCACCGAACAGCAAAACCAAGAACAAATCTAAGTCATCTTCGTAGAAAATCCTCTCCCTTTTCATCGTGTGCAAACAGGTCATAGGTGACAGACCAGACAAAGTACAACTCATTCACTCCCTATGATGAGAGAATTTTTGCAATGTTGTTGCATTTCAGCAATACATATGAATTGCATTGTCCGTCCATAAATTCTCTATCTTACTTATTCACATAAGGCTTGCGGGTTTGCTGGAGCTGATCCCAACTCACTCAGGGCAAGAGGCAGGGTGCACCCTGAACTGGTTGCCAGCCAATCACAGGGCATGAGTAGAGAAATCAACCATTCACACTTCCATTATTACCTTGGGACAATGTAGAGTCTTCAATCAAACTACCATACATGTTTTTGGAA